GGGGGGGTAGATCACCCAATCAAACATGGCTTCCAGTAGTGTTGCAAATCATGGACCACATCAAGTTGTGAGCTTCAGTGTTATTCTCTCTCCGTTCATATGGCAAAAAGTCAAATGCGCCAAAGCCAGTTGTCAGGGCGTTCAAGACAGGGTGTTCACCTCTCTCATGATCTGCCATACCTCTCATTGAAGTTTTCCTCCAAGTTCTATATAATTCATCCACTTTTTTAAAATGATAAAATTAATGTCTCTAAAAATGCTTTTATTTTTTAGAGAAATGTGTACAAAATGCTAAGGCAATGTCTTCTTCCGGGCCATCATGCCAGGCCCAGGCTTGGCATTTTCATTCAAGCGGGCCTTTGTCGATCCTCTAACATTGTGAAGGAAAGTCACCGCGCTACAGTGTTTGTCTAATGTAAAATGAAGAAGGAAAGTTAGGGACTGTTAGTAGGTAATTAGTCGGTTGTTTACTGTTGGTATTTACTGCAGATATAAATAATTTTTAAAATTAATTTTATTTCACCATCAATTTGTTTGTATGTAACTATTATAACTGAACACAGTAGATCATCAATTTGCAAATTAATTTAAGTCATTTTAGCTATATAATCATATGGATAGAAAGAAGGAAAGTTAGGGTATTGTAATTTCTCTAACTTTCCTTCACAATGTTAGAGGATCCGATTCCCGTATAAAGGTAGAACTTTTTGAAGCACTGACTTCACTGCGTGATGCATGATGTCAAATAAAAAAAAAACACTGCGTGATGCACCGGCGCACACCGAGCGAGCCCGTGTGCCGTCCGATCTAGCGTGCACCGTCCAGATCGGGGCGGTGGAGAGGGCTCAGCCACTTTTGCGACAACGCCCCCGTTCCGCAGCCGATTCACCAAACAAACCTTGAAATCGACCCAAGCCGCTGTCCGAGCCGCGCCGCCAGTCTCCGGCGACCCCGAGCCCCAACCATCCCATCTCCGGCCACAGGAGCTCCAGGTACGCTTCCCCTCCACGTTCTCCTCTTTGCCTCGTCCATCGGTTCACAGGTTCTGAAATTCCAGGGTCTGCAACTCTAGGGTTCCTCTCTCCATCTGGTCCTCCGCTACGCCCCGAATCGATGGAGATCAGGGCCCCGCCGACGAGCCTCAGGCTCGCGACGCCGCCCGCCACCGCAAGCTTCCGCCCGGCCGCCCTCCGGACCTCCTTCCTCAACGGCAGCGGTGCGTTTCTCGAGCTCGTGCCCTGCGCCCTCGTCTTTCATGTGCTTTGTGGCAGAGATTGCTGTAATAAACTTGTAGCTGTGGATTCGGTTAGCTAGTTTATAGTTAGTACACCTATGCTAGCGTAGAGGTCCAAATTGGAAGGTTGATAGGCCGAAGGTTTGGGAGATTGTGATTATTGTTTCTTTATGGTTGTGGAACTTGCTCTGAAACGAGCCGGGTTGACCTCCAAATCTCCAATAGCATGTTCATTGAAGCCATTCCATGCTAATTTGCGGTTCCAACTACAAACTATAGCATGTACTATTAAAGCATGCCAGATATTTACATTTTATCATGTCTCTTAATCTTCTTAGCTTACATGCTCAGACAGTCACTGATGCTGGTAACATACATTAATATGGTTGCAGTAGAGAGCATATGGAAGTGCATATTGTAGTTATTTAACGATGAACCAATGGCCATGTTGATGACCTCTAATTGGCTACATCCTCTGCAGTTTCTCTTCGAGCTGTGCAAGTACGCCAATCAAATGTCAACAGATTTAAGTGCAACGCCATACGGAGTAACCTCTTTGATAGACTAACTAGGGTTGTCAGGGTGAGTAAGGCCATTTCAGTCAATACTTCATTACACAGTAGCATAGTTTGTGTTTATTTAACTAAGTGCTTGTGCCTTGTTGGTTTTTCTAGTCCTATGCAAATGCAATTCTGAGTTCATTTGAAGACCCTGAGAAGATCCTAGATCAAGCGGTCTTGGAGATGAATGATGATTTAATAAAGATGCGGCAAGCCACTGCACAGGTTTGTTGTGTTTACTGTTAATCCTAAAATTTCACCAGTTACAGTTGGCTGCCTCTTGTATTGTCAGGTTGTTTGTTTGGATCTCTATGCATATAGATGTAAAATGGAAATACAAGCCTATTGTACAATATTCTTTTGCATTCAACCTGATAACATGTTTTTTTTTGGGGGGGAAGGTCTTGGCATCTCAAAAGCGGCTCGAGAACAAGTACAAAGCTGCCGAACAAGCTGATGCTGATTGGTAATGTTAATGTCACGGGAAACTAAAAGCTTACATTTACCCCTGTCATCTGTTTGTTTTACACTCGATGCCATTTTTCTTAAATGTAGGTACCGGAGGGCTCAACTTGCTCTTCAAAAGGGCGAAGAGGAACTTGCTCGTGAAGCCCTTAAACGGCGTAAATCATATGCTGTAAGTATCATGTAGGTCTAGTGTGCTGGATCAAATGTCTGCCCAGTCACACCGTTACTAAAGTGTACATGCAACTTGCTATTAGAAACAAATCCTATTGAATGTTTGCATTATACATGTATGTGCTATATACATCTTATGTCAACTTGTGTTAATTCGTATGCTAAATTCATGTTACAGTCTTGTTACGTGTTTGTGTGCTTAGGAAAACGCAAGCTCCTTAAAGGCCCAGCTTGATCAGCAGAAGAGTGTCGTTGACAATCTTGTTTCAAATACCAGGGTGAGTTTGTTAGTTTTAACAGCAGGAATGCTCTTTTCCTGAATACAAATTTGTATTTTTCTGGGACCATGTGTGTCACAGGGCGAACACTATCTATTTGTATTTTTGGCTTTATTTTCAACTTTTTTTAAACATGTATATGTCATTCTGTAGCTTCTTGAGAGCAAGATAGCAGAGGCCAAGCAGAAAAAGGATACCCTAAAAGCCCGTGCTCAATCAGCGAAGTATGCATCATTCATTTGTTGGTTCTGTCTCGGCGCCCATTGCTTCATACTCCCTCCGTTCCAAATTACTCGTCGCAGAAATGGATGTATCTAGAACTAAAATACATCTAGATATATCCATACCTGCGACAAGTAATTCGAACGGAGGGAGTAGTTTCGTTAATGTGATAATTGGCCTTGATTTTTCTTTAGGACCGCAACAAAAGTGAGTGAAATGCTGGGGAATGTAAATACAAGTAGTGCCCTATCAGCATTTGAGAAGATGGAGGAGAAAGGTATTTCCTCGTTAGTGGTTTTCTCCTACTAGTGTTATTTATTTTGTTAAGTACCCTCTTATTTGCATAGTTAGTATGAACTGATATGGGCATAGGCCAGATGCAAGCTCAAAAGATGCTAGAGTACTCATGGAGAATATCTGGTGCACTGGTGCTTGTGGTGCTACCGGTGCACCGAACTCATATTGCACATTTTAAGATGTTCAAAAAATTATGAAAAAAATTCAGCACATTCACACAACATCAATGTAGATTGTCACAAAATTTCAAGTCAAAATTCGAAGCATGGCTAAAAAAGAGAGAGACAAATTCAGCACTGAATAGTAGATAACATAAGTTGGGCTTTAGATTCGGCCCATTATCACATTGATACCAAATTTGTCATTTTTGTATCTCAAGAAATGTTTTAAATTTGACATGAAATTTTGTGACAACATACATTGATGTTGTATCAATTTGCTAGATTTTTTTTCTGATCTTTTAAAATGTTCTACGGCATCTGGTGCACCGGTAGCACCACAAGTGTTGGTGCGCCGAATACATTCCCGGAGTACTCAATCAGCAACCTTAATGACTCAGTAGAGACTCGAACCTCAAAATATGTCAAACTATCAGTGGCCTAATATTCAAATGCATCAGGTAGCAATTAGAACTAGGTAGTGGTGTTTTTTTTCCCTCCATAAGTTGTCACAATTGCCAGCCGCTGTATCATCAAAATGCATCTGGAACTTTTTTTGCTGTTGCCAAAAATCATTTGTGGTTACATTACATATCTAGTTTTCAAGCAGTGGATAGTTTGGCCACTTGCACATAGGCTGATGATTTCAACAGAATCTAGCGTTTTATGATGAATATTTTGATTGACATGTTGTATCATCTCCTATTTGTGTTGTTATATGTATGACCTTTGTAAATTATGTTATAATCTTCTTGCTTGTGTAGTGAATGTTATGTGTCTTCTGTTGGTCGGGAAATTACATGTGCCACTAGTTTCTCTTACCGGGCGTGTTATCAGCGAGCCGACCAGTGATATCTCGTGACAAATTATTTGTACATTTTATTCTTACCAATAGCTACATGTTTTGTGCTGTCAGTTATGACTATGGAATCCCAAGCTGAGGCACTTGGTCAATTAGGAGCTGATGATCTAGAAGGAAAGGTAAATCTGGAGCGTGCGTAGTAACTTCTAAAGATATTCATTGTGGTAATAAGATCTGACCCGCAGTAAATTTCTTTTTTGTCCACAGTTTGTGATGCTCGAGACTACATCGGTGGATGATGATCTTGCACAAATGCGAAAAGAACTGTCCGGGAGCTCTTTGGTATGTCTCGTCGTTTTGGACTCGGAATTATAGTGGTTTTAAAGTTGAAATTGAGATTATGTCTGCTTTTGATCATGTTCCCTTCCTGTTGGGATGTGCACCAAAACACATAGGAGTAGTTGGATATGCAAAAATTAGACCATAACCTGGCTAGCCAACTGTAAATACAAAAGTGAATGTGATATGCCTTTGTTATTCCGTCTGTTCCCTATATAAATACATGACTATGTTTCATGTCACCTACAGAAAGGCGAACTTCCTCCGGGTAGAACCACGGGCAGCAAATCAGGCAGCCCTTTCAAAGACATTGAGATTGAGAAGGAGCTAAGTGAGCTGCGGAAGAAGGCCAAAGAGTACTAGATTTTGCAGGCTTGATGAAATGAAACCACCTAACCGAAGAACCCCAGAAGTTATATAGCCTTGCAGATTTTCAGCAATGTGCATCCGGGGTTCTGAACCCATCAGTGCACTTCTTTTGGTAAAGGTATATACAGTTGTGCGAAGAGTTCTCTCGCAGTTTTCCTGTGAATGGCAGTCTACTTTGTACAGTTATATTTGTCACATAATGCAAATCATCACACCCTTTTCGAGCTTAGCCAAGAGCCCCAGTTCCCCATCCTCGTGCGCCTGACTGTCGTCGATGCTGGGCTTTTCCCGTTGCTGCCCATTCTTTCTAACTGCATTCCAGGGACCATGCGTGCCCTTCTAGAAGGAGAGTGGCATGCCCACTAGAACCGGCCGCAGTTCTGAACCTGCACGGAGCCTCTCATCCATGGGGTTATTTTTTTTTTTGACTTGTCTGATCCATGGTTTCTGCCTAGCTGTGAAGTGATCAGGATATATCCGTTTATCCGTCCCGCTGAAAAATGTGCGTTGCACACCAACCACAGCGTCAATTTTTGAAGTCACCAAACCAGGTTTAGGGGAAGATATCAGTTGATACCATGATACGGGCTTCTAGGAGCCCTTGGATCTCAGATCGGACGGCTTCCGGGAGTTCTTAAGCATTTTGCAAGAAAATCATCCGGGAGTCTCAAAATTTCACGTAGGTACAATAAACTCTCGGGAGCCGTCGGATCTGAGATCCAACGGCTCAGAAGCTCGTATCACGGTATCGCCTAAGTGTTGGTATCACCTGATCTATTTTTCCCAGGTTCAGATGAAGGAGAAAGAACGAAGGTTGCCCTTGCCACTGTCGGTCGTGATCAGACGGAAGCAGCAAAAGTGCAAAACGACAGGCAGAACGGCGTGTTGGGGAGCGCCGCTGTCGCCCAAGGACGCTACACTCCAGCCCATACGGTACGATCCACTGCCATCGCGTTGCGTCGCCGGTTGTTCATCTAGAAGCGGCGACGGCTCACAAGCAACAGCAAGCAGGGAAAAGGAAGCAGCAACAAGAAGGCACACCTCTCTCCTGGACGGCAACACGCTACGATCATTTGAGTGAGAATCAGGGTGCTGGTTTCCAGCACCGAGATGCGTTCGTTTCGGTGAACATTTTTTTAGTCTTTCAGCAGGTGCTAATATATCCGGGTCATGGCCACAACTCACAAATCGCCAAGTACTAGAAGCAGCCATGGCTTTTCTAGCTTTCCTTAATATTCAGCGTGCACGCATCGGCAATGGGGACATACGCCCGGAGGCTGGAGGTGAAGCCTGGCCTTCTCCCCGTAAAATGAGTCGCAGGTGAAAGCGTCAAGGTCCATATGCAATGCTCACATACAATGATACAAAGGCAATAATTGACACCACAATTGTTTTCTTCAACAAAACCCTGCATTCTGCCGCCCACGTCGCTGTGCGTAGACCCGTCCAACTCTTGCAAAGTAGTACTCCGTATTGACCGGGGGACAAGAGAGATCAGGTGGTAAAACTCGGGACGCCTTGCCGGAACCGACGACAGGAATTGGACCGGCACAAGCAACACGCCCGGCTCCATCAAACCAATAAGAGCACGTACAGGCAGACAGCACTGTGCCCCAAGACCTTCAGAAAAGGCGAACCGATTTCGTTGCGTTCTTTTTCATGTGCAGTCGTATGATTTAGCATCAATAGCAGGAAGTACTAGTAAGAAGGGCACATGCATCGGACCGGGAGATATGGCCATGTTTGGTTCAGCTTTTATTGACGGATTCCGCTGCCGCGCAGCAGAATCTGAACCAAAGGACGAACCCAGTAGAATTCGATTTCAGAAACCCGCTGTCAAAATCTGAACCAAAAGCGGAAGCAGTCCAGGACATGCTTTTCAAAATCTGATTCTGCTACAGGCCAAAATCTGAAAAAGCTGTATCTGCTGGTTTGCTAAATGACCTATATCCTTTTTATATCAGATTTTTCACAGTTGTTTTTCCACAACAAATTTTTCACAGCTGCTTTTAGAAATCCATAGGCGAATCAAATAGGGCCTCTTTCACTCTGTTTTCTCTCTATTTCCAAACTGACGCATGTACACAAACCAGTGGTTGGACCGGAACCTACTACTATCATGTGTTTGGATACACACCGTGCATGCGAACATATTAATTGCAGTATACATGGATAGCTGGAATTACCCTGGAAGTCATTGACCGACTTTTAAAAGGACAAACAAACTCTTTCGATGCCATTGTATCCGTCGGGTCAACTTTTATGCTCTGGGCGGATAAACATTGCCACGTGACCCACCAATGCATCTACACTCTACGTGCCCTAGCCAACTACTCCTCGCTGCCGGCTGCCCTGTACATGTAGGAGTACTATGTATGGCATGATCAATAATACGCATCTATGTACATATACGTGTTGAATTATGGATGGGCTTAGGCCCATATAAGAATAAAACTCGATGCAAAAAAAAAAAAAAAAACTTCCCAATTTGCCCCGTAAAAAAAATATAAGACACTAATCTCTGGTTAATCTCGAGGCCCATGTATGAGATGGTAGGTGGTGCCCATGTATGAGATGGTAGGTGGTTGGAAGTTTAGTCTCACCTTGCTAGTTGAGGAGAGTTGAGACCCCTTTATAAGGGCTGCTCTACCATTTGCCATTGGAAACTTGGGAAGAGGAGTGGTACATACGCGCTCCTCCTCCTCCTCCTCCACGCCTCGACGCGCGCGCGCCGCGGGAATGAGCCGAAGCTTATTTTTGCCGCTCAGGAATGAATTAATTAATCAGGAATTAATTAACGAGTCGCTAACATGTGGGCTGACTTGCGTTGCCGGGATTCGTCGACTCCCTTGCCGGGACCCGCGTATTCGTCGACTCCCTTGCCGGGAGTGGGCCGACTCGGTCGTGGGCCTCGGCAAGGCCCACGACTTTCTTCCTTACGGACTATATAAGAAGGCTCTGGCCAGTGAAGTAACCAAGTTCGGTTCACTCACTCCCTCTCGCGTGACCTAGCCGTCATCTACTGTTCCTCACTCTGTGCTGCCTCCGGCGATCCCATCTCGACGACCGCGTGCACGGCTGGTCGGGAGAGCAAGTGCCTCCGGAACCCTGTCGTTCAAGATCCTGTCTGGGAGAACGGCAATAAGGTTTTTGGGGAGCGTCTCGACGCGACTGCTCCCGATCCGTCCCCAACTATGTTCGCCTATGCTTCCACTACTTCCTCTGCATCGACACCATGCCCGACGCCGCCGCCGCTAAGAAGAAGGCCACGGACGATGCCGAGGCTGCTGCTGCAGCTGCCGCGTTGGCCTAGCCAACCGAAGGGTATGATCTGTTCATCCCTCGTTTACTCATACTTATGCTAGCCGTATATGTGCTGCTCATAGAAGTTTCGATTCTATGTTCTGTACATGCTAGTATGCTTAGGTATCGCTATGAGATGCATACTTTTTATGCCATGCTTACTGTTAACTCGTGGATAAGTCTAATCGGAGAAGTGCTAATATTTCCAACAGTACGTAGAGGGTAGAGCCGAGACTTCCATGACACCGCCATCACTGCCCGGTCGACGCTCTACGTACACGTACGTCAATGAGAACATGCACGGCCGGCTTCAATGAGCCCGTCTACGTACATCAATGTATATCTTCTAGACCTCAAGGTATACATGTAGGCGACGCGTATGTGTACACGCTGTACGTACGGCTGCGCGCGCTGATCTGTTCAGAAGCCGCATCCCGTCTCAGCTGACCGACCGTGGACGCGCGTGAGCCGTCGGCCACCCGATTGCGACGACGCGTATGGGTCTGATTATGTTTGACCACATCCGGCCAGGCCAGGACTAGGGGTAGGAGTAGGACTGTAGGTACGAGTTGGATAAGGACACACGACGAGCATAGCGACGCCGTGTAGTGCTGCGTGCACCTACAGGCTACAGTCCTACCGCTACGTAGCGTATGTACGTACGTACGTGCCGGTCTGCCATTCCCATGCATATTTTCCTGCCGGACGTACGTATGCACGTATGTACGGTCCATTCGCAGTTCAGCTTACACGTACGAAGACGATAGCACGCACGCATGCATGCCGAACAGCTACTTCCAGAACAGATCCAACTCGATCGTCTTTCATTGTAAGCACTACGTGTGTCCGCAGTTTGCTGACCCATGCAATCGACGTGATCCAATTCCGACGACCGTACCTTGTCCACGCTGTTGTTTTGGCAGGTCGTTGACGATTTGGATCTTGATTTGCATGGCCATGCATGACCCTCGGAGCCAGTCTAGGCAGCAGCTAGACCAGGGCGGTCGATCAACCCGCCACCTCACCACATGATATGTTGTGCACCCGAATCAATCAGCATTGCATGACCACAACCGGACCACAGATGAAGTTTCCGCAAAAAAAATGATAACAGGAAATCTATACAGCGATGGAAAGCAACTCCTTTCCAGAGGGGGAGAGGTCCCGTGTCCTTGATTTTCTTTTGCACGGTTCACCCGAATCAATCAAGGATCGTACGACGCTCACAACCGCCACACATTGCTGCCCCTGCACACAAGAAGAAATTGAATCAGTTGCTCCGATGAAAAGCACTTCATTATGTCCTCCCCCTCTCGCGAAGAGTATATATAAAGTTTTGTGGAAGACATTATATGCTCAGCGACCCAAACCTTTTCCAGAGAATATGTGCATATAAAATTGCCAGATCAAAAGGTTATCTGGACCCTTGAGACAATGAATGGCATGTGAAGGCATAGTTGAATGAGACCTCGAATCATTGGGCAGGCCAACTTGGCAAACCGTACCCCTGACCCCGACCCATGCATGCATGTATATCATGGATCGACCCATCAGCTCATGCATACCCCCGTTCGAGCGTCCATGGTTTTGCCGGATGTAGCCAAAGACACAGGGCGGCATCAGACATCAAAGGGACACATGTTAGGGCGGACCACACGTAACACACACACGGTCGGTTCTTATCCGGAGTA